TGAAATAAATGTGATTTTCCTTTTAGATTAGAAGTTACAGTGAAGATATTTTGCAGTATTTTCTATACTTTCTGGAATTGCACATAAGTAATGTTTTATAGTAACAGATGTGTGACATCATATGAAAAACTTGTAAAACCTTTACATGAAAATCACATCTGCCAGTCCCTGCTATCATTTTAGCTATAGCTCTATGGTCTACTTCTCTTTCTGTGCCAGAGGAGGCAGCTTTGCATGAAAGCTGTCCCAGGAAATTGTGTCTTCTGGACTAGCTAGTTAAACAAATTGTGTAACTGCCATTAAAACCAAAATGTACCCAGCAGACATAATTTCACAAAAGAGGAGAAAAAAAAAAACACATTTGTACAAAAGTCACAGCTGTTCAACTCTACATTTTGCACTTTTTGCATTCAATTTCTTTTCTTTCTTTATGAACAGTGACAGTTACATTTCTAGTTAGCAGCTTTAGGACTTCTTAATACATTGCTAAGTGCTGTACTACATAGATCTGGTGTCCTTCAGGAAAAATTGGGCTAAGTTCTCTCTGCTGCTACATGGAGTAAAAACTTGGTTCATCTGCAGATGAAATAAGAGGAGATGTTGAGTAGGCTCATTGTCCTCTAAAATCCAGAGTTGTGTGGCTGCATCTGCTGCTGCAAACAAGTGTCCACATTCCTGTGTAGGTCCATATCATAAAGATTTCTTTTCTTTCAGGTCTTGCTCCCTGTGACCATCTTGCCCAGGTCTACTCTAAAGTATCCAGCATGGCCCTGGTGACCTATGATGCTGGGTCAGGAGCTCATCTCACAGGATGTGTGGGCAGCATGTCCTCCCACTGTTGGGCATCTGGTTTGGAACTGAACTAGTGGGGAAGGGATCAGTGAGGAGATGTTCTTGAAGGAGTCCTCATTCTTCCCCAATGATAATTCTCAAAGGCTTTGTTGGACCATTATGATACATGCTGAATTTATGGGAGTTGTTTTGAGCCAGAATTTGGAATCTGAGCTTTGCAGCCAAACTGCCTGGGTCCTCATTTCATCTCTTTGTCTCAAAAATGTGTGATACTGTTTAAATTACTTCACTTTTTCAGCCAGTAACAATTTACTTTTTTTTTTTTATCACTGTGGAAGATTAGAAATGTTGTAAAGATTATTGAGCACTCAGCTCAGCTCATGGCACATGCTAAGTACTCAATAATGTCAACTATTGTGATGGGTTGATGAGCCAGTTTTTTTTTCTGGCTCTCAAATATATTAAATCTATAGTCTTAAAAATCTTAAGAGGGAATTTGCATGGGACAGAATTATGACATAGTAAAGTCAATTACAGTGTACAAAAGCTGTTCAATCCAGGGTTTTTTAGTTTCTAGCTGTGCAAACCTTTTCTCCTACTGATTGCTAGAATTCCTATCTGCCTGTCTGTGGCTGACAGGAAAATGTATGTTCATGTAGCTGTGCCAGAAGCACAACACTGATTTCAATCTGGCGTGCCTGGTTGATGACAGAGCCCATTTTGTAACTTCTGCTCCTGATTGTTGGTCTGTTTAAAGAGTGCCTGACTGCTAAGGTCGCCCTCTGGAGTCCATGCATATGGCTTACTTTACTATTGGTAGGGAAAGTGGAATGCTTTTCATATCTTGTAAGCAGCACCTCCAATTGCATAAAGGGCTATGTAACTAAATATTAAAAATAATAGCTCTTGGGACTGGGATTGTGGCTCAGTGGTACAGCGCTTGCCTAGCACTGGGGAGGCCCTGGGTTCGATCCTCAGCACCACATAAAAAACAACAAACAAAGGTTAAATTCTTTAAAAAAAAAATAGCTTTACAGAGAAACCACTGTCCATTGTCATTAATAGTGTTAGGGAATTGACATTTTCTTGACAACTAATTTACAATAAGATAATCTTGCTTTGTTAAATTAACTAAATATTAATTTTAAGATATTTAAGTATATGATTCCTTAAGATGTTGCCATTAATATCATTACAATAATGAACAACAGAGCTGGAATTGTGGCTCAGTGGCAGAGCCCTTGCCTTGAAAGTATGAAGCATTGGGTTTGATCCTCAGCACCATATCAAAATAAATAAATTAATTAAATAAAGGTATTGTGTCCATTGACAACTAAAAAATAATTATAAAAAAAAGTAATGAACATCTGAAGGTAGGCAGTTTGTGTTTTATGTTTTTGATATCTACATTGGAAAAGTTGATAGAGTAACTTATCTGGAGAAATTCAACATTTTTCTCTATAATAAAAAATAAGAAACTTCGGTGACTTTTTTCCTTTAGCAAAAACCCTCTATTGGCTGAAAGTGATAACCTCTTTGTTTACAAATGAATTCATTTAACTTCCATAAGCAGAACCACTTAATAAATAGCTTGTGAAAAATAGTTTAATCGGGATAAGAATACACAATTTAAACAAAACATGTCAGTATGTATATTCTAATTAAATTGTTTGCCAAATTGTCTTCATTGTGATGGAAAATATTCCTTACTTCAAGTAATGCACACATTATATAGAATAAATTGAAGAATTTTATTTACCCTGATGAATTTTTCCAAAATGATATTACTAAGAATACTAGAAAAAACATTCTATTTAATACCATAAAGTTTGAATTATTTATCATTTGTCCCAGTTTTCTTCATGGCCTAGCAATACATCTACTTAACTGACACCTCATACATCTATTACTGATATTGGAACACTCTTTGGAATCCTGTACTGGGGATAAAGTCATGGCAGAAAGTAGAGCTGGGTGCAACCAGAAGGGAGAAGACTATTTTGACTCACTACTATAACCTGTATGTATAACCTTATAATCACTTGAATTCTAAAATTATTAAATATGTCATTCTGATCTAATTATATAAGACATGATTGACTCCAGAATAATTTTCTAAATATAGCTATGATACATGGAAAATGAAGTAGAGAAATGTAAATATACATATAAGCAAAAAAAAGCAACTATTCAAAACATAATTAGGATAAGAATAAATATTTTTAGGGTTATAGCCAACATCTACTTTAATAATTAGCTATCAGTGTTCTATCAGCTGCAGGTCTTTGGTTGAAGAACATATACCTCAAAGATCAAGAAGGTAGGAGATATAGGTTTCTGCTGTATGATGTCTCACCCCTCTGACAGATGATCAGGATGGAGGAGAAAAGTTAAATACTGTTTCCATAATGGAAATTAGCTTGAGGGAAGCTGAAGACATGGAAAAACAATCTGGAATAAGACAGGGATCAGCAAACCGTGATCCCAGAACAAATCAGGCCAGTTGCCTGCTTTTGTAAATAAAGTTTTATTGGAACATATCCTCACCCATACATGTAAGTGTTACCTATGGTTGGTTTCAAGGTACTAAGGCAGAGTATAGTAGTTGTGAAAGAGGCTACACGGGCCCCTACAATATTTTCTATCTGAATCTTTATGGAGTTTGCCAACATCTGGATGAAGGAAAGGGTTTTAATTAAATGACTCCCAAGAAAATGTATTAAAGGTGAGACCTGGTAGGTCACAAACCTCAGTTTTCTCTCCTTTCATGGAACTGTTTTGGATTTCAGATGTAATAGGCTTAGGAACAGTGCAGTGTGATTCAGTGAATTAATACAACAGAATTTATTAAATTAGTGTTGAATTTATTCAGGATCAGCAGCTCTATTGTTATTAAAATATGTAAATATATTAGTTGATTAGCAATTTAGTGGGTCTGAGAGGCCTTATAGATATTTACAAATGATTCTCCTTTGTTTAGAGATATCTCTGTTGCATTTTTATCTTTTTTACCTATGGAGTGTCCAGGTGACATGAGACATTAGCTACCATATAAGAAAATTCCTTGTGGCAGATGAGCCAAATTCACCTCAAGGGTGAATCTGGAAATGATGGACTGTGGTGCCAAAATTGGGGCTTGTCCAAATGAAAATGGTGGGTCAGAGTATTCGAGACAAGTGCTCAGATGGCAGAGGCTCAAGGGCAGGGAGCACATAGGTCTTACTTCTTGGCACATTTTCAATGCAAAAAAAGCTTGATACCTAATAAAAGCTCAGTAATGTTTGACTGTTGTTACAAAAACAATTTAGTAAAAAAGCCATAATCTATAACCTTTGACCATCTAAATTATTACTGTTACACAGAACATGGTTAGCAAAAACAGAGTTAGATCTTGAAATAGAATGTGAGAAGAGTCTTTTGTGTTCCAACCTCTGCCTTTCCTGGGCTGTTTATTTCCCATAAGGAAGATGCAGACTTTGCTACTCACTTAAATAACTTTAGGAACACAATAGATAGGAATAAAAATATTTTCTCTTTTAAAAGAGGAGATTCTGGAAAAATAAATCCTAAAATTAACTTTTGAAATTTATGGATATTATTTGATTTTCCCAAGAAAAATCCTTATCAATAATTTAGAGCCTAATAGGTTCTTTACTTCCAAGAAAAGGATATGTAGATGGAGATAGTTTGTATTACATAAGGTAAGATTACTACAATGCATCTTCTATTAAGTAACATTAAGGTCCAGTCTACTGAAAGAACAGTATTGACTTGAAATGGGGTTTTAAAAGAGAAAAAAGAAAGCCCAAATTTTATCTCTCAAATGGAAACTATGATGCAGTTAATTGGCTTTGAAACCCAGGTTAACAAAATATCTCTTTTGTACAACCAGTCAGCTCCCCAAATTTTGATTGCAAAATGAAAGGCATTAATTTGATATCTTTAATTATCACTCATTTAGAGGACAGTGTGAACTACACTTTCTCAATTGGTGTTTTTTGACTCATGAGTCAAAGGAAAGGAATGAGAAATTAACCAGCTGGAGAAGCAAGAAACAGCAAGAGGTGCTAGTAGAATCTTTGTGGATACTTCAAAGTACGATGAAAGGGAAATAAAGGGGCTGTTAGCCACACATGCTCAATAAATGAAATACTAACACAATTTCACAACATATTAATAACAAGTTAATATTACACTTAGAGACTTACTCAACATAATAAGTGCCATATATGGGATCATCGATCTTTTCCCAGCCATATGGAAGCTCTGAAAAATAAAAAGTTATATCTTTCAGTAAATAAAGTGCAGATATCACCATTTCCTAATAAAAAGTAATATAATTTAATTGTTCATAAATTGCAGAAACGGTCTACTAAAGCAGATTAAAACATTCAGAGTTAGTACCAAATTTCAGACACATATTGTGGAGACTATAAGAAGCATGGATTTGAAAATTGGCAGATAAAATACAGAGCTCTCTTCTCTGTAGATATACTGCTGGGTCTAGCTGTTTTTTCTATGCCAAGCAGTAGGATGGCACGTCATCATATTATCACCATCCAGTGCGACACAGAAGGCAAATCACTTTTCTGAAAGTGCAAACAGATTATTTATTTGTATTGTTAAAGGCACATTTCAGAATAAAGATTGTATTTTCAAAATATATTTCTGAGCATAGCAAATTGTTTCTGATGGCTGAAACAAAGACATTATAAATTCTCAATTGATATCCCACTATTCGAGACAGTTAGCTTGCTGTTCACTCCACATGGGTCATGATTTGAATGCTGCCAGCATGTTCTCTGGGGCATATTTTAAAAATAAAGTCTAAAATTGTAAATATACTTTCCTTGACAATATAGCTCACATTTCCTTCTTTTCATGGTTCATTTTAATAGACACAAACATTGAAAATATCAACAGTACTATAAATGCTACTACATGCAAAACTGTGCTGTTTGAAAGCTAGGCTTTACTTCATGATACTGTTTTTCACATACACTGAGCCTGTATAATTAACTGACAAATATGAAGAATGTCATATTTTTCTTGATAGATATTAATTTACACATATATAATTTGAAAACTAAGATACACTGACATGATTAAGTAGTATATTTATAAGTGAAATTTAAAAGTTTTATTATTACCGTAGTAACACATGTCACCATAGACAAAGCACAGCAATTGAAATTAGAATTACATGCAATCCTGCCATCCAGAGATAACTACTGTTCATATTTTTGTGAATATCTTTCAAATAGTTTTTTATGCAAATAATTTTGAAAGGGATATTATTTTTGTAGCCAGTATTTCTACTTGACAGAACATTGAGGGCATCTTTCAATGTGAATGAATGCTTGCTGCACAATATCACTTCTGTGTGCGCAGTAGTAGTCTGTGATATGTCTAGAGTCTGTGTAATTCCACAGTCTTCTGGTATTGACCATTTGGGACTTTCTAGTTTTTGTCTGTGTGTATCATCTATGTCAGACACACTAAAACCTAAACCTCTTATTATTTTCCTAATGATTTAGTAGTGACAAACTCCAAGAGGTAGAATTTTGGATTAAAGAGCATATATATACCTTTTCATGGCTTTTGATATGCGTCACCAGACTGCCAACTTCCCACTCACAAGAGTACCAATTTATAGTCTCACTGAGTGTGTGTACAAATGATTTTTTTCTCTGTAACATTAATTTTTGAATTCAGATTCAGAATTACTCATCCAAAACTTTTAGGGACATATAGGTTTTAGAATCCAGAATATTATGTGAGTTTTAGTAAGTTCACATGGTGCAACTGCTTTCTGTTCTGTAACATTCCAGGCAGAGTTGGACAAGAACCTTATAAATGAGCATGTGAAGTATTTCTACAGCTAACCATGTGATTCATTAAAAGGTATACCTTAAAAAACCTGTAACACCAATTTAGAGTACCTAAAGAAGTCTGTCTTTCAGAATGATCATGGGAACAAAACTTTAACTAAGTACTGACAATGGTTTGGTTACTGATGAACTTTCCATGTCCTACATCATTTTATCCTAAATACTCAGGATTCGAATTCTCTGTACTCTGACTCTAGCAATTCAGATAGTCTACTTAACACATTATAAAAATAATTCATATTAAGGAGAATAACCATCTAATTGCTTTTCACCAAATCCCCTAAACTATGAATATTTGGCTAATAAAAATAATAAATTTGACTATACCTACTGAAGGCCTTTTCTAAGTAGCTAAAATGCAAGAACATATAAAAGATAGCAATTGATATTATGGGTATTTGTTATGTATAGGGCTCAACACATGGATACAAACTTTTATAACAAGTTTAATGTTATCTCATAAATACAATATCATATGAAAATAATGTTAAATAGCATAAAGAATAAAAGTCTAGTGTTGTTAACTTATGGATATAGTACTTTTTTTTCTCTTTTCTTTGTGGTACTAGGAATCAAACCTAGGGCCTTTGTGTATGCTAGGCAAACTCTACCACTGAGCCACATCTCCATCCCATAGTACTGTTTCCTAATGTCAGCTGTCATTAAGAATTTCATGATCAATTTTTAAAATTATCTTTTATGGGCTGGGGATGTGGCTCAAGCATTAGTGTGCTCGCCTGGCATGCGCAGGGTGCTGGGTTCAATCCTCAACACCACATAAAAATAAAAATAAAGATATTGTGTCCACTTAAAACTAAAAAAAAA